ATGAGCAAAAGAAGCAACCTTTACGATCCACTTGTGGATAAAATCGAAAATATGAAGTTTGTGTTTATGAAAATGAGAGTTATGAGGTATGTTTAGATGAAAATAGAGAGGAAATGAGAGGAAATGAAGTATTGTTTGTTTAGAAAGTGAAATAAGTGGTTGAAATTTCATAAACACAAGCTTAAAGAGCTCATCAATGATGGTTTTGGGTGGTTGCAAATATTGATGACAATGGCATTATGGTAAATAAGGAGAAATGTTTAGGGTGTAATAGGTTTTTTATAATTTTCGAAAATAAAATCAGATTTAAAAATAATGGCATTTTGGTAAATAGGTGGAAACATGAGGAGAGTTTAGGTTTTTTAAGAGTGAATAGTAATGACAAAAAAAAAAAGAGGTTGGTTTTGTGTTTGACTTGAAATTTTAGGTTGGTTTTGCGAAAACCCCAAAATTATTTGGGTTCTAAGCAATTAGGTACAATTGGTTTAATTGTTTGTAATTTGAACACATTCAAAGTTAATAAATCCAATTCGGCTCATATATTTACGAATATTATATATATATTAAAATAATCTATAGAATATAAACACTGTTTTTAAAAGAAAAATCTATGTATTTGAAGCTTATCCTTGTTTGTGTTACTATGTCCATATTAGTGTGGTAGTAGTTCAAGTTATAAGTATTTGTGATTTGAACTATTAAATATTATCGGTGTAACTATTTGTATAACTACACAATTTTAAATTTTAATATGGTATAATTAATACATAAATGATCATTATGTTGGTTTATCTGAGGAGATACTATTGATAAAAATGCTATGATGATGTGTGTGATTAGGGCTGGACACTTTGATTCGTTAAATTTGATTTAATTCATTATTTCTTTGATGTAAAAATTTTGGATATTAGTAAGTAAGGAAGTAAAGTAAATATTAAAATTCAATATCTGATATAACTAAACTGATCACAAATACTAAAATATTTAGAGACGGATATCTGATTGCTCCAACGTTTACATAAAAATATATATATATATTTTAAATATAGAGTTTTAAATGTATATTTTTCTATAATTATTATTTTAGCATTTTAATTATATTTATAAAATTATTTATAAAGGTATTAAATTAAGAAATAAATATCAAATCATTTTAAAAAATTACAATATTTCTAGAAAAGTTTATTAAAAGATCTGATTATCTTTTTTTTTAATTTATGGAACATATCATTTCACTAATTGTTATCTTTTTATTTTATATAATGTTAAAGATAGTTTTGGAAAACAAATTTGTATTACTTTTTAGAGTATATTCAAAAAGATTCTCTATTTTAGAGTTTTCAAAATTCTATATTTGAAATTAAAAGGTATTGTTCTCCAACATCAAAATTTCAAACTTAATTTCAAAACCATTTATATTTTATACTATGATCCTTATATTTGTTACAACTAACTAAAATTTACAGAAATTGTATAAATAACTAGCACATATATAAAAATATTACAGCAATATTAATTTATAAAATGTTACACTAAGATATAAAATTATAAATGAAAATATATAATTAAATATTAAACTACAAACAAAATACCACATTAATTCATGTAATATTATTGTTGCTATCTAGTTCTTGTTTTAAAATATTTTAATCTTTTCTTGATGTTTAAAAAAAAATTTATGTGTAAAATTTAAAGTTATAAAATATTTTGAAATATTAATGAGATAAGATTTTTTAAGGATTAATTAAAACAATAAACAATAAACTATTTAAGAATTATAATTATGAAGTATAATCGTAAGACCAAAATGCAAATAAAAGATGAAACTTCAAATTTGTAATTTCGAATAGTGACACTCTCTATATTTGAAGTTTCACTACTCAAAACTTCAAATTTGAAGTTATAGAATGTTTGAAGTTTTAGAGTTCTTTCATGGAGAGCCAAAAACTTCATATTTGAAGTTATAGGATGTTTTTTTGGAGATGCTCTTAAATTTATTTGTATTAAATAATATATAAAATATCCGTAAATGTTCAAAATCTAGATATTCATATTTCTCCGAACAAAAGAGATAAGTAAATAAAATATCCATAAAATGTGAAAGAAATCACAAGTATTAAAAATTATGGGAAAATTGCCAAATATGACTCAAAACTTGATTTGAAATGCAAAAGTAAACCCAAACTTGAATCAAATGCAAAAGTAACTTAAAAGGCTATTGAAATTACAACCAACTCCTTGTGAACAAACAAAAAACGCGAATTTTTTTTACGTTTCTAGCCCTCGCAAGTCGTCTGCCCAGACGACTTTCAAATAAGTCATCCAGACGACTTAACTGAAAGTCGTCTGGGTCAGTTTTTCTTAAAAATAATTTAAAAATTTTGTAATAAATATTTTGATAAATGAAAAATTGGTATTATGTAATTACCATATGTCTTAAGAGATATAAATTAAGATATAACAAAAGTGAGTTGTTTTCAGCATAGATGAATGAAAGTAGTGTGTCATGATATTCTTTAG